GTGTTAACATACTACCTTTCGTCGGTCCGATTTCTAGAAAATTATTTCCCTCAGATCAAACATTTGGTAAATTTTGAATTTCATTTCTATTTGATATAGTGTAGAGTTTACGTGCAAAACTGTCTTTAAAGCAAACATGGATAAGTCATTCTTGATAAACTATAATGATACAAACTACAATAAATAGAACATAAAACTAAAATTAGTTGAGTAGAGGTAATTTTTTTCGGATAACATATGAGTATCCTTAAGGGAACATTGATATTCTCAACATCAATTTTATTTTTTTAATCCAATTAGTTTTTTTTTCGATTGAAACTTTTGTTTCATATAAATGTTTAAAAATGTACTCAGAATTTTTAATTTTTTCTTTTATCAGATAAAATCTTAATATATCATCATATTAGATGTAATGAGATATATCTTTAATTTCGACTTGAAGATTTAGTATTATTTTATTTCAATGAGTTTTCTAACGACTAATGCACAGCACAGGCTTCGAACAAGATATGTTTATGTTAAATGTTTTTTTGTTTCATAAAGTTTTTTAACAATTAATTACGATGAAAACGACCGTTTCGTGTGTTATAAATAACCTTACAATTCTATTACATGTTTTACAAATATGTCAGAAGTGCTTAACCTTTGAGACCCGTAATCGAATAGAGCCGGCTTTCGCTACTAAAATTCAGTTATTTTAACAAGTTTAATTATGAGAGACCTTAATGAGATTTAGAAGCTCGCCTCTTTAAAGCCTCTATCACTAATTCAATGTAAAGTCAAATGTGTTCCGCTCCGAATAAATTTTTCATAGAAATTTTGATTTATTATTTTTAAAATGTAATAGTTACGTCATTCAGTATTAACATTTTAAATATATAAAGGGTTTAGTAACTGATCAATTTTATCAGTGGTTTAAAGATGGAAAAAGTCTATTTTTTTTTTTATGTATTGGAAAAATCATTTTCTTTTCGTTATTGATAAATACATTAGTTAACTAAGATATTTTACTAATTTAATAATTATTGAAAATATTAATTTTTAAACATGTAACAAGCCTTTAATTTTTTCTGATGGTACAATAATGTATGATTTTTAAAGAAAATTTTTCACTCACATTTTTTATATTTGGTGCGTTTTTCCTTTATAATAATGAACAGTTATCCCAAAAAATAAATAAATAATTTTATTGATAAATCCACGATACAATTCTAAATAATTTCTAAAATAAATCTAATGAACCCTTTGAACGCAGCCGATCGTAGGTCTAAAATCTATTATCTTATTACGACAAGATTTCAAGTAAGATATGAAACCAGATTCCAGATGCGTCCACCTGCGCGTCTGCAAACATAATATTTGATTTTGTTAATAGAATTACACTTATTATTTTATTTTTGAATGAGAGTCTATTTGAACCGAAAAGATTATTGACCATTAAATAAAAAAGTATTTTGTATAAGTATATTGTTATGTAACACAGAAATAGTTATATTAGATTTTTGTTATATTTTAAATTAATTATTGCGACCTAAAAATCTCAAATAATTGTAAAAAAAATTATTAGTTAGGTTAATCTCGGAGCCTAACATTTCCCCGTACAAAAAAAAAAAAAAAAAAAAATAGCATGTTTTGTTTATATTAGATTTTTTATGTTGTTGTAATTTTGGAGTCCAAATTAAATTATATTTGGAAGTAGGTTAACCACAACTATTAATACAAGTGATTTTTTAGAGAATCTTTGTGTTATAAGGTAGCAGTTGGAGTCAATGAAAGAGTCTATTATTTTAAACTCGTTGGAAAACGTCCATCACCAAGTATCTATGACTTTGGACGTGTTATTCGGTACATATATGTTACATATTAACATAGTCCCACCTAGCTCTCGTTTGTTTTGGTTTTAAATGATATCTCTTGATTGATGAGTATGCTGTGTGATTTAGCAACTCGATAGAGTTTAGCAGCCGTGCTAATATTATTGTAGTCCATTAAAAAATTAGTTGAGATATATTTTGGATTACATTCTAGTAGGTTTTGTGAAATTTTTTGCTGGATTTAATTTTTTGAATTAATGTGGCTGATAAAGTTGCTAGTCGATAATAAACGATTTTCATCTAGTGAATCCTAAAATTCATTTAGTAAGCACGAACTTTTTTATGATGCTTTTATATAATGATATTAGACTTGAATAAAAGTGTGCATTACAGATAAAAATAAACCCTTTTCCAATTTAAACTTTAAGAAAAGAAAAAAAATAATAAAAAATCCTGTAGAATTAAGTTACCATTTTATTTTATATCCATATTAATTTTTATTGCTCTTTCTGATGCGACTTAAAACGGATTTAGTCCCGAATGATCTACACACTCTCATTAGATTTTCTTCATAACGGTCTGCAATGAAGTTTTTATTCCCAGATTATTCGTATACAGCTCTACTAATTGATTAAATTAATTTCTTTTCCCCTCTACAGCTACCCTTTCACATTGTTTGCCTTTTTTTTTATACGTAGGTTTTACTACGTTCACAAGTTTCTGCTATATTATTTAGCTTAATTGCTGTTTAACAATCTAATTTCATTATTGCGAAACGTTGTGTTTATTATTTATTAATAAATTTTAATCATTCAGTTCACAGTTTACGGAGTATACTAAAATCTTAACCAAGCAATTTTTTTAAACTTAATTAATTATGTTGAATATATACAGTTAGGCGATTAGGAGATGTTGTAGTATGATTAAACGAATAAAATAGTTAGCATGTGGATGATTGAATGAACTAAGTTATTAAAATCTCTATTTAATAGATCGACCCTAAGAATGAGATAGAATTTTGTCTCATTTTGCATGCTTACCAGTTTATCCGTAGTACGGTTATCTGTATATCCTATACAAGAATGTAATATAATGTCAACCAGGAACATCGGTATAGTATTAAAACAGATGTAAACACTGGTATGTAAACATATTGTGCTTGTTAGTAAATATACCTATACTACTACAACCCACAGAGGGCAAGGGGGTGGGCTAACGTGTGTGCACAGCACCGCAAGTTGCCCGGCAACCAGATAACCTAAGATTAGAAAAAAAAGTACGAGTTCGCGTTCTGGTGCCGGTGGGATTTTAAATTCTCGCTGTCATCCTCCAGCCAGGAAAAATCCCGTATAGCTTAAAAGGTGATTTAGGGAAGAACAGAAAAAAACAAACAAAAACATGGACAGTCTTTGGAGCAGTACTTTGTAAGGAAATACTGTTTCAAGATCAACAGTTGTCTAGGAAGCTGATTGGGTCGAGATCATACTCAACCGCCAGGTTTTTCTTCTTAATTAATAGTTTTTTTTTGTCTTCATATTTCCATCCACACCTGTCATGAGGTTGATAATAAGCAGATGTGTTGTAACTAATTAATTGTTAAATTAAAAAAACACAAGAAATATAATCGTTGACATTTTTTTTTTTAAAATCGGTTATTTTCAATTAGACCTCGTCCAATGATTACTCACGAAGCCATTTTCTCTTGGAATGAAGGTTCTTTTCTAATCGTAACACATATCTCACTAATTGACTTATGCCAGAAACTTACCTGTCCTCAATATCAGTTTCTCGATATTATTATTTTTCCTAATGAAAAGCTGCCAACTTCGCATTTTCTACTTTTGAATGTCTGTTAGGTAAAAGATAGAACTGAAGAAACTATTGAATTGTTTCATTAAATTAATCTTGTAGATACCTGGGAACTCTCACACCTACAGGGATTTGCCGATTTGAAGTGACTTTAAATTGTTTTCCAAAAGCAATATTTTCCATGTGCTTATCATCTCAGATCCTTTAAAATAAAAAAAATCTCCATTCACCGTCAGTCAACCTGTTCACCCTGTGCTCCCCTGTTCATTTTACAACACAAGGTCCCAATCCTTGAACTTGTACATTATTTCCCACAGAAGTGCATCCTTCAAAAAAAGTAAAAAGGTTTGCTGGCACATTATTTAGAATATTAAGACGTGTATACCAATTACTTATTTCCAATAAACACAATTGTACAACTTGTTTATTGATCGGTGTAGAAAATATGTTGAAACAGGGAAGCCGAGACGGTGAACTTAACAGTTCGTCTCAGTATCTTCTTCCTCCTTCGCTTTTCCAAATACTTGTATATTGATTGAAGTTAGTGCCGGATCCAGTGATTTTCTGAGGAGTTGGGGGCGCACTTGCGAATCAAATGAATTTCATATATCAAATATATATATATATATATATATATATATATATATATATATATACATGGAATGAAATGTATAGTTTAGTTTTTTTTTTCGTTTTCGCCGAGTAATTTGCCATGAAACGGTGATAAAAATTACTTGACTGGAATTTTGACGTCTATGAACTTGAAATACGACATTTTTGCATTATTTATTTCCCAAATTAAAAATAGTTTCCGAGGTATCGAAGAACTCTAGCAACTAATTTCAGCTACAATCTTCAAATATTTTGCCAATAAATGGAAACTGTTTAGTGTAAATAATAAGATGAATTATTCGTTGTTTTTGAGTACTAAATATAATTAAAAATTTATTTATTTACTGAATTTGCCTCTACCCGAAGTATAGGGTCATTGGAAATTCTTTCTTCACTCAAATTTTCTATATTCTATTGTAGAATCCCGTTATTTTCAATAAATTCATCAGAATTTCCACATGTCTCTCCGTATCCTCTAACATTTTCTGGTCAGTTCTGTGCAAGTTATGGTTCTTCCTTGTGGCTGAATAGTGTTTACATTCCACGGGTATGTGGTTTACAGTTTTAGGGAAACCACATCCCGACACAGTTAGGTGGTTCTCGACCGTGGGCGAAATATCACATTGACCAATTCGGAGGCGGCACAAGATTATCCTGTTCTAGTTTTTCTGTTACTAGTGAACCGTTTAGCACTGTCTGACTGCTTTTATCTGAAGTAGTTTGGATAAATTATCATATTAAGATGAATCGTAGATCATATTTCAGGACAAGGGCGCACTCTTGGTCCGCTAATAGTATACTTAACTACTCTTCTTCACGGCGGATCTCCGGGGGCTTCGGCTGAAGCCCCCCCAAATTCGTAACTGTTTTTCTCGCAAACGAGTATTGTTATATATAAATATTATGTTATTAAATAATATAGTTTCTACAATTATTAATTGCCAGGGTATCAATACATTCATTTATTTTCCGTGGAAAATTATTAATTTTTTATAATATTAATAAATAGGGAGTGGCTTAGCTCAGTGGCAGGGCACTAAGTTTCCAATACTGAAGGTAGCAGGTTCTGTGAAGGTAGCAGGTTCGAATCCAGGTTCATTACAGAAAATTATTTATTCTATTTCATTGGCCATGGGGCGACCCTCCTGGGGTACACCCAGCCTCTACAAAGTGGATATCCTTAATTATATAATTGATTAATTGGGAAAACCTTGCAGTTGAGCGTGATACTGGCCCGATCTTCTCCCTTCACAACTGTTGGTCTTGAAACAGTACTTTCCCTAAATAGTACTGTACCCAAGATCCTTCATGGATTGTAGCGTTTTTCTATTCTATATTAATAAATATCTGCAAATTATTAATTATCGATATTTATTTTATCATAAAATAGAGTATCGTATGTTGTAATGGACTTTGCCAAAATATTGAAGTGTTATGCCGATGTTGATACGGATCAAGGGAACCGAGAGGAACTAATACAGAGCGCAAACACCTCCATACATGCAGAATCGTTTGCTTCCACACGCATTTCACTAACATTCTAATTAATTTATGGCGAACGGGAGGAAGCCTTCGCTAATATTAACTGTCAACAATAATGTAAGCAATGGAACTAATTAACGAGAGCAGAGAGATGTGGGGAATACAACACGAAAATCCACTCAAGTAAATTGGTGTCTGCTCTCGTAGAAGCCGAGCTAACAGCCTCCGCGCTCCCTGCAGTCCTTACTTGCACTCCATCACTTCGTCCATCGATGGCTCACATTCTCCTATATGTTTCACTTTGGGCTTAGGAACAATGAAACAAGGAGTCGCAGAGTTAATTAATGAAAACATAATATTTTATGGTTTTGAAATTCTTCAATTATTATTTTTCAAAAATACATGTATTATTTATTTATGGAATAATATAACATATGTATAGTATTACAAAAATTCTCCAATCGATCTTTGAGTATTCTATTTTTACATAATTATTTAAATTGAGAATTAGTTCACTGAATTCAATAAACTACAAATTATTCAAAGATCTCGGTGTTAATTCGACGCGTCGATCCCGTTTTTTATGCTAAGAATGAGATGATCTTCAGTGTTTTAAAATAAACTTAATTAAATTTTAGCATGTAAACCTATGACTTCCTGGCATATAGTATCCTTTGACAATTCCCCACTAATCCCTGGTTAAACAATGGAGTCCTAGTTATCATCTGGACAACCGACCACTAGCGGATCCAGGATTTAATTTTGGGGGGCTTCAGCCCTAAAGCTTTTTTTTTTCATAAAAATGACGATAATTACTTTGGAAAGTAAGAAAGAAACTAACTACCTATATGAACTGGTGTTTAAGTGATTCCTAAAGCCATTTTAAATATAATTATACTTTAAGAGATAATTTTTTAATATTTTTTTCGATAAAACATGGTTATATTTTACCATTTTGAGGGGGGCTTCAGCCCGAAAGACCCCCTCCTCCCCCCCCCCCCGTAGATCCGCCCGTGCAAACGACTCACTTGGAATCCTCATACAAGACTGAAACGACTAGAAACAGTTTAACGTTTTCGATTACTACAGCACATCGTAGACAAACGCTCTAAACTTTCTATGTATTGCAAAAGACTCATATGCATGACTATAATAAGGACAATCTGTACTTACGGAATTGAGCTTTGGGGCTCAACTAAACCTCTCCTATCCAATCCTTACAATCCAAAATCCTTCGTAAAATCCTCAATGCACCTTACTTTGTCACAAATAAAATCATTCATAACGACCTTAACGTACCATATGTCTCCGATTTAGCGCAATCCAGATATATATCCTTCCATAAAAAACTTCAAAACCATCCGAATACTCTCGTTTAAAACCTCGTTTCCTCTTCGATACCTGATAATCCTCTAAGGCGTCTGAAAAGAAGATGGCCTCGTGATCTACTTAATGCAAATATATTATTGGAATGCTATCAATGGGTAGTTTCTCGACAAGCGTTTTCATGTGATTGTATTATTACCTTGTGCACATTTACTGGATGTATTTTTAATTTATACAGCTGTAAATCTAATGAATAAAAAAAAAAATAAAAAATAAATTTAGCATACATCAGGCTAGAGACACGCTTAGCTTCAGCATCATCTACTATCACGGATATTAAGCTACTCAAGTAGTTGAGTAGCTTTATATCTGTGCTATGCTGAATCTCTCAGCGTGTCTCTAGCCTGAGGTATCAAGGCTATATCTTTAAACACTAAAAGGATCACATTGTTAGCATAAAAACGAGATCGAAACGTTGAATAAACACCAGGATCAATGAATAATTTATAGTTTATTGAATTATAATTTAGGAACTTAATTTCCAATTTAAATAATTATGTATATATATTTTGAATTTTATCACCTGCATTAACTAAAAATAAAACTATTTGATGTGAATTGGTATGGTTACTTTTACAGATTTGTTAAGAAATTACCATTAGTAGCAATCCAGTTATAGTTCTATATTGAAAAATCCGGAGACCATGCTCTTTTTAAAGACCTAGGAAGCTTGCCAAAAACCAAATAGGATCCCAGGTTAGAAACTAATGGTTTTGAATGGGGCTGAATTTCATTATGTTAGGTTCGGTATCAGGGTTGTGGAAAATCTGTAATCTCTTGGAGTTACTTTTTTTTTTTTTTTTTTTGAGAATTGACAGAAATTTTAAATGATATATTTTTTAAAAATAAAAGTTCTGTAAAACTTTTAGTTGAAAAGTTCTAGTTCCAAAATAACAAAAACAAAATTGTATATAAATTATTTCAGTAATACCGAAAACTCTTTAAAAATAAAATTTTTAATTTCACTTCTAAAGCACTCTTGCTCAATCTCCACTGGGTTTAGCCATAGTGACGCGGTTGAGAGAGAAGTGCAGAGATCTCTAGGAGTCATATTTTTCCCTCCACCGTTGGAGGTACAAGTCTTTTTTGGAGTTCTCTCGCCAGATTGTAAATGTTGTATATGTGTTCTTTTTATTTATCATTTTATTGTCATCATCATGTGTCATTTTATTCTTATTTATTGTATGTATATTATTTTTCTGTGTAATTTATTTTATTTATTGTACACAGAGTGTGAATGTGATCTGTTAACACTATTAAAATGTCCTAGAGACAGACTAATATTTTTCAATAAATAAGTAAAAAAAAAAAGAAAATTCACTTCAGGCCTAGTTATAACATTGAATAGAGTATATTTAATTTCAGTACCATGATTATGCATTAGATATTAGAATTTATTTAAATTCAACAGAATGAAATAGAAAGAATACAAAAAATTATTTGAATGATGAGTAAATGACCTCTATATTAATTTCTACTTCTGATTACATCAACAGCTATATCAGCCCACTCGTTGACAAGGGATGGTTTCATTGCAGTAGTATTTATTCCATAGAACCTTAGTTTTTATCGCTGGTTAATTAGGCTAATTGGCTGTTTAATCGATTCCACTAATGAGCGCCGTTAATCAGCCTTGAAAAATTACCGTCGATACTCTTCCGAGGTAGAAATTGCCATGCACTATTGTTTGGCTGTGTTAATCTTAGTATAATCAATTGTTTAATTATTTATAAATTTAAAATTTATAATAAATTAATAATAAATGTTTTTCTTTCCTAAGCAGAATAAATGATGTAGATTATTTAAAATATGGCTAAAACCAATCCGGTGGTACACTAACTAAACAACTCTCAAGTTTCCTAGTTACTAACTTCTAATTACTTTTGAACTAGTTGCTTTTGCAATAAGTGTCATTGAATTAATAAGGGTTTTAAATAATTAATAATTGTCAAGAACTATTACAATGAATATTTATTATATTATTCTTCCTCTTCAGACTAATCTAAGCTTGCTAATTGATATTTTTGTATTCAAAGATGTTTTGTATTTTCAGATGTGAGTGATGTATCACTTTATTTCTAATTATAATTATTTGGTACGACTTTCTCTTGATAACAATAGAAACATGTAAATATTTTTTTATTTTGTTGTATTATGGTTTTGTTTCCTATTTATTTTACGTAGAATAGCTAAGGGAAGGGGGGAGTTTTATTTTTATCGAGGGTTTTACTGGCTCGAGCAAGAAATAATGATAAGACAAATCAAAAACATTTCATTATAACAAAATGTGTTCAATATTTCCTTCAAATTATAGAGTGACGAAAATAAATGAAAATAAATAAATCATACATGTTGTGGGTCCGAAACTCAGTGCCCGCGGGCATACTTCTGCATGTACGACGTTACTTGTGGTCACGGACAAAATCTTCCCTCCTATCCTTAACTGTAACAGCAGTCACCATGCTAGATGGTTATAGCGTTTTATAGTGTTGAAATTAAACTATTTTCATTTTTTTTGTTTCAAAACATCTATCATATAATTAATTGGAAATGTTAAAGTATTTTTAAATAGTTTTAATTTATATTTTATAAAATATTTTATTTTAATATCTTGAATAGATATTTTTAACGATATTTTCAATAAATATTCTTCACCATTATTTTTCTTTTAAGAACGAAAACTAATTTACAAAGTTGATAATTTTGTATTAAACTTGTGAACCTGTGATAACAGCAATATTTAGCTTATACTTTCAATTTTACAGCTTGGAGTTTGTACTTTTTTTATGAAACGAAAAAGTACAAAATACAAGCTACTGTACTAATAGTATTAGTTTGTATTTTATTATGAAACAAGCCCCTGATCGCAAGTTATGTACTCATATTCCCGTCTCTTATTTTTGCATCATTTTCTTCAAATTATGAAAGGAATGAAATTCAGATGTCACATTGTCTTTAGTATTTATAATTCTCATAGAGAAATTTTGTATTTAGT